CTTGTATGGCCCCCACGTGCTTGTATGGCCCCCACGTGCTTGTATGCATGCCTAACAATGTCAGGGTATCCTCCTAATGAGATGATGGATGGTGTCCTGGGGGATCTCCTCCCAGATCTGGACCAGGGCATCACTGAGCTCCTGGACAGTCTGAGGTGCAACCTGGTGGCGTCGGATGGACCGAAACAATGTCCCAGAGGTGTTATATTGGATTTAGGTCATGCAAACGTAGGGGCCCGTCAATGGTATCAATTCCTTCATGTTCTAGGAACTGCCTGCATACTCTCGCCACATGAGGCTGGGCATTGTCGTGCACCAGGAGGAACCCAGGACCCACTGCACCAGTGTAGGGTCTGACAATGGGTCCAAGGATTTCATCCTGATACCTAATGGCAGTCAAGGTGCCGTTGTCTAGCCTGTAGGGGTCTGTGTGTCCCTCCATGGATATGCCTCCCCAGACCATCACTGACCCCCCACCAGACCGGTCATGCTGAACAATGTTACAGGCAGCATAATGTTCTCCGCAGCTTCTCCAGACCTTTTCACTTCTGTCACATTGCTCAGGGTGAACCTGCTGTCATCTGTGAAAGGCACAGGGTGCCAGTGACAGACCTGCCAATTCTGGTATTCTATGGCAAATGCCAATCGAGCTCCACGGTGCCAGGCAGTGAGCACAGGACCCACTAGAGGACGTCGGACCCTCAGGCCACCCTCATGAAGTCTGTTTCTGATTGTTTGGTCAGAGACATGCACACCAGTGGCCTGCTGGAGGTCATTTTGTAGGGCTTTGGCAGTGTTCATCCTCTTCCTCCTTGCACAAAGGAGCAGATACCAATCCTGCTGATGGGTTAAGGACCTTCTATGGCCCTGTTCATCTCTCCTAGAGTAACTGCTTGTCTCATGGAATCTCCTCCATGCCCTTGAGACTGTGCTGGGAGACACAGCAAAACTTTTGGCAATGACACATCAATATGCGCCATCCTGGAGGAGTTGGACTACCTGTGCAACCTCTGTAGGGTCCAGGTATCACCTCATGCTACCAGTAGTGAAACTGACCATAACCAAATGCAAAACTAGTGAAAAAACTATCAGAAAAGATGGAGGGAAAAATGTCAGTGGCCCCCACCTGTTAAACCATTCCTGTTTTGGGGGTCGTCTCATTGTTGCCCCTCTAGTGCACCTGTTGATAATTTCATTAACACCAAAGCAGCTGAAACTGATTAACAACCCCCTCTGCTACTTAACTGATCAGATGAATATCCAAGAAGTTTAGTTTACTTGATGCTATACTCTGATTAATAAGCGTTCCTTTAATTTTTTTGAGCAGTGTTTAATGCACCATTTCAGGTTGACACAGTGATAATTTTGTTTTGCTTACACTATGAAGATCTTGATAACTTCTCAAAACATAATAAGCACATTTAGGGAGGGCCACTGTTCCCCGCAGCTTGAATACAGCAGAGAAAACGTGAGAGGAACCAAGATTCTAAGAAGCAGTCCTGACAGAGTGAGTCTTTTAAGCATGGACACTCGGTGTAAGACAACATATATGGGAAATGTATTGTTAGTTAAATATACACAGCATACAAAACACTATGGACAGTATTTAAATATTGAAGACACAGTCCACAAAAGGATCAACAT